GAACACCCCTCAGATATATCAACGGATCGTCGACAATGCATTATACGGTCACATGTGTATCAAGCCCGATCAGGATAGGTCGGACCCCGTTGACTTCTTGAAGGAGGGAGAACCGGAGCCAGAACCTAAGCCATCGGTCCTCGGGCGGAGGTAGTACGTGAACGACATCCTCGTGACCAGCGACACGTGGGATAGCATGTGCAAACGGATCGACAAGCTGCTCGATGTTTGTGATTGTTGGAACTTGTCGATCTGCGTAGCTAAGGGCTACTGGAGTCGACGCAAGGTGGCATATCGTGGACACGAAGTATCCGCGGTCGGTCTGGAAGCAAAACTGAAGAAACTCGAAGCAATCGCCAACCTTCCGTTCCCGACTAAGCTGAAAGCGATGCAGTCATTCCTCGGAAGCTTGAATTATTACAGTCGATTCATTGAGGACTTCGCTGTCTACGCCGCGATCCTATACGAGCTGCGGGAAGCGGACTTTCACGAAATCGCAAGAATAAACACAGAGGGACTCGACAGACGCGGACTGATGACGGCCTAATAACTGGGGGCGAGCGCGACAGGTGGGCGAGAGCGAAGAATGGATTCACTATGTTGAAAGCGAAGATTATCACCAAGTCAGTCTTGAAACACCTCGACCCAGAACGTACTCCCGCCATTGTGTTCTACGCGAACAAATGGACTATATAGGCGGCATTGATGCAGGAACACGAAGGTGCATGCCATCCGGTGACCTTCACCAGTCGCACGCTGAAGGCAAATGAACTCAATTATAGAGTGGTGGATAAAGAGGTATTGGCTCTTCTGCGGATCTTGGATGTCTGTTACTCACAACTGGTAACCAGATCGATCAAGGTCCTGTCGCGATTCTCAACCTTGGCCTGGATGCTCAAGTCGAACGTGTTTGACGGTCGATAGGGTAGGTGGGCAACACCGCTGTCGGGATGGACGTTGGGGATCACCAAATGTGTAAAAGGTGAAGAAGAAAGCCTTGGAATAATCGCAGCTAGCATCACTCCCAGACCCGATGTGGATGCAGCCCTAGTCGCGATAGCACCAAAGAAAGAGCCACGCAAAATGATCACCGTGTCTCCACCGACGATCGAACAGGACGAGGACATCTTGGTGAGAGACGACGTGACGCACCGAAAACGATGGAAGAATCTATCATACAACGTACACGGTGTCAGAGAATCAGGCAGGCTCAGGAAAAAGAAAAACGGATTGCAGACCTGAAGAAGTACCTGGACGGGGAGGTGAATGCCTTGACGTCAAAAAAGGAGAAGACATGTTCGAAGATTGCTGCGAATTATGAAGTAGACAAAAATGGGCTGCTCTTCTTTTGCCGCAAAACGCTGCAACGAGACGAAGACCGCGATGGCATCGTCAGAATGGTAGTACTCGATAGCTTGCAGCAAGATTTCCTTCATCATTATCATGCCAGTCTAGAAGGAGGTCACCAAGGTGTCGGAAGAAAGTACTGGAGGATCCAAGCGAACTTCCACTGGCGTGGGTTGTATCGAAGTGTACAACGATACGTGGGGGAGTGCACCGATTATGAAACCTGGAAGGGAAAGCCAACGGGTCAGGGAGAGTCACCAGGGAATATACAGGGTACGTACCCTTTTGAGGTGATCTCCATGGACCACATTTCGTCATTGCCGAAGCCATTCAAGGGGAATACCAAACTGCTGATTTGGGGCGTCTTGTTCACGGGCTATGTAATCACCAAAGCTGGACCGTCGAGAGAGGCGTAGGCAGTGGCGGAGAATTACGAAGAATGTGTCTTCCGTCGCTTCGGCGCAAACGAAATCATAAGGCATGATCAAGAGCCGAGCTTTATGTCAAACTTTTTCCGTGCCTTCAACCGTATCGTGAAGATGAGGCAGAGCGCAACGATGGTTTATCGTTCACAACGGAACGGCAAGGCCGAGTGGACGGTACAAACCCTGACGCGAGCCCTGAAGATGTATGCTGCAGATGTCAACCAGCAAGATTGGGACGACTACGGACATGGATAACGACATTTGTTTCGGAGCAGTACAAACAGTAGGCTGATTTTCGCGAGTGGGAAGCGTGAGAACACAGAGAAGGCATCGCATTTGGAGCTCACCCACAGCTTTATCTATATACGTGGACAGCGCCTGCTAATGTAAAATGACTCAAGTTAGCAGCCATAGTAAGAAAAAATCCGATCCAGAATGATGAAACGAAAACAACACTACAACTTGCAGCCGGTTGTGACCACAATTCAGAAACGAAATGAGAATCGGCACGACGGATGGCCAGCTTGTACAGAGCCAGAGTGTGATGGAACAGAGGATCTATCGACCATAATATATGGGAACGTCGGAAGGCTCAGGAGGCGTGGAAGACATGGACCATTGGTTTGCCAAACCTACTATGCCTTCTGACCGAAAAAAAATTCCTGCCAAATGTTGCAGCAAGGGAGGCCCCTGAAATTACTACGAATTTTATGACAACTGCACAGCGGTACATTGGTAGATGGACTAGTTAACATGACATAGCGATGACGATTATCTGGGA